TAGCTCCAGCAGAGTTGCTAATGTGGAGAAGACTAATGTGCACCAGATTAAGTCTGACCTTCTCAGACAGGGTGGGAGGGTGAAACAGCATCAGGAACGCCAAGGCCGGAAACAAGACGCTGCCAAGTGAGAGAGACAGTTTGATTCAGGGGACAAAGTTTGGTGTAGGAACTACTAAAATGGCCCCGCAAGTAATAGGTTTGGTTGACATGAGGTCAACTCCAGTGACATATAAATTTTGGGTAGGAGCAACGGTCCTGAACAAGCATGTGCACCATATGAAAGCTGTGAATTCGCAAACAGAGTGGGAACAGTCAATAAAGTTGCCGGAACCCATGGGTTCACCCTCTCCATCAAGAGTTGATGACCCCTGTAAATCAGAGATGAAAATGGTGGATGTAGCCATCTCGGTGCCTCTGCTGTTGGAAGCAGAGAGTGAAATTCTACCGGGATGCTCCCTGGTGCAAGAGGCAGCTCCCATGCATTACACACTGCTGTTTTGGATGCCGAGTTGGAGAAACCTGACCCGAGGCTAAAACATCCCAGGAGGTTCTCCAAGAAAAAGGATCGTCCTTTGTCCTTGGACTCAGAAAAGGATGAATGTAGTGATTGTAATAAGGTCAACCAGGTGGACCAAACAGAATATGAATTCTCTGAATGGGGCTGCTAACCTGGTCCAATCAGGGAGCCCTGGCTAACAGAAAAAACAGGAGGCAGTACGAGAGTCAAGGGCTGTAAATGTGTAAATAAAGAGTGACGTGGTGACGGGGTGCTGTCCTCTGTGAAGTTATTTTATAAACAATGGTCAGATTCTCTGCTGTTCCTGTCTCTTAGCAACCTGTAATACCCTTCCCAGTCTGGTCATTTATACATTTTCAAAGATGATAAACTGCTTTGCATTTCCTCTCTCACCATGTTTAACCCACCCACTCCTCTTTAACAGGCATGTGGGAGTGTATTAGAGTCCCTCACCATCCTTCTGCAAAGCGGTCCCCGAGCCTCCGCTTGGTTTCCCCGATTTAGAGGAAGCCACACCGGGTACAGCGGATGCAGTATACCACATTGGCAGATGTGCAGGTGAACATCTGCTTGATGTGGAAAGTCTTCTTGGGGCCTGGGATGGGGGTGAGGGAGGAGGTGTAGGGGCAGGTGTAGCACTTTCTGCGGTTGCAGGCAAAAGTGCTGGGTGTGGTGGGGCTGGAGGGGAGTGTGGAGCGGACAAGGGAGTCACGGAGAGAGTGGTCCCTCCGGAAAGCAGATAAGGGTGGGGATGGAAAGATGTCTTTGGTGGTGGGGTCGGATTGCAGATGGCAGAAGTGTCGGAGGATGATGCGTTGGATCCAGAGGTTGGTGGGGTGGTACATGAGGATGAGGGGGATTCTTTTTTGGTTCTTATTGCGGGGACAGGGTGTGAGGGATGAGTTGCGGGAAATGCGGGAGACACGGTTGAGGGCATTCTCGACCACTGAGGGGGGAAGTTGCAGTCCTTGAAAAACGAGGACAACTGAGATGTACGGGAGTGGAATGCCTCATCCTGGGAGCAGATGCGGCGGAGGCGAAGGAATTGGCAACAGGGGATGGCATTTTTGCAGGAAGGTGGGTGGGAGGAGGAGTATTCTAGGTAGCCGTGGGAGTCAGAGGGCTTGAAATGGATATCGGTTTCTAGGTGGTTGGCCAAGATGGAGACAGAGAGGTCCAGGAAGGAGCGAGAGGTATTAGAGATGGTCCAGGTGAACTTAAGGTTGGGGCAGAAGGTGTTGGTGAAGTGGATGAACTGTTCGAGCTCCTCGTGGGAGTACAAGGCGGCGCCGATACAGTCATCAATGTAACGGAGGAAGAGGTAGGGTTTAGGGTCGGTGTAGGTACGGAAGAGGGATTGTTCCACGTAACCTACAAAGAGGCAGGCGTAGCTTGGGCCCATGCACGTACCCATGGCCATCCCCTTTGTCAGTAGGAAGTGGGAGGAATTGAAAGAGAAGTTGTTGAGGGTGAGGACGAGTTCGGCTAAGCGGATGAGGGTATCAGTGGAGGGGAACTGGTCGGGCCTGCGGGACAGCAAGAAGTGGAGGGCATTTAGGCCATCTGTCTGGGGAATGCAGGTGTATAGGGACTGGACCCCTCTCACCCACTCCAACCTCTCCCCCGCAGAACGTGCAGCCCTCCGCTCCAATCCGAACCTCACCATAAAACCTGCGGACAAGGAGGGTGCAGTTGTAGTATGTCGCACTGACCTCTACATCACCGAGGCCAGACGCCAACTCTCCGACACCTCCTCCTACCGCCCCCTTGATCATGACCCCACCCCCGAGCACCAAACCATCATCTCCCAAACCATCCACAACCTCATCACCTCAGGTGACCTCCCACCCACTGCCTCCAACCTCATCGTTCCCTAACCTCGCACTGCCCACTTCTATCTCCTTCCCAAAATCCACAAACCTGAATGCTCTGGTCGACCCATTGTCTCTGCCTACTCCTGCCCCACTGAACTTATCTCCAACTATCTGGACTCCATTTCTCCCCCTTGGTCCAGGAACTCCCTACCTGTGTCCGTGACACCACCCATGCCGTCCACCTCCTCCAGAACTTCCAATTCCCTGGTCCCCAACACCTCATCTTTACCATGGACGTCCAGTCCCTATACACCTGCATTTCCCATACAGATGGCCGAAAGGCCCTCCGCTTCTTCCTGTCCCGCAGGCCCGACCAGTCCCCCTCCACTGACACCCTCATCCGCTTAGCCGAACTCGTCCTCACCCTCAACAACTTCTCTTTCAATTCCTCCCACTTCCTACAGACAAAGGGGGTGGCCATGGGTACCCGCATGGGCCCAAGCTACGCCTGCCTCTTTGTCGGTTATGTGGAACAATCCCTCTTCCGTACCTACACTGGCCCTAAACCCCACCTCTTCCTCCGTTACATTGATGACTGTATTGGCGCCGCCTTGTGCTCCCACGAGGAGCTCGAACAGTTCATCCACTTCACCAACACCTTCCACCCCAACCTTAAGTTCACCTGGACCATCTCTAATACCTCTCCTTCCTGGACCTCTCTGTCTCCATCTCGGCCAACCACCTAGAAACCAATAACCTGTTCTTCCTCCCACCTAAAGCCGCACCCCCATCTCCTACCTACTAACCTCATCCCGCCCCCTTGACCTGTCCGCCCTCCCTGGACTGACCTATCCCCTCCCTAACTCCCCACCCACACTCACCTTTACTGGCTCCATCCTTGCCTCTTCGACCTGTCTGTTTCCTCTCCACCTATCTTCTCCTCTATCCATCTTCTTTCCGCCTCCCCCTCTCTCCCTATTTATTTCAGAACCCCCTTCCCCTCCCCCATTTCTGATGAAGGGTCTAGGCCCGAAATGTCAGCCTTTCTGCTCCTATGATGCTGCTTGTTCATCCAGCTCTGCACCTTGTTGTCTGGGTTGGTAGGTTTGCTGTTGATGGAGTTGTGGATAGTGTGGAGGGCTGTTGTAGGTTGCAATGGGACATTGACAAGATGCAGAGCTGGGCAAAGAAGTGGCAGATGAAATTCAATCTGGAAAAGTGTGAAGTGATTCATTTTGGAAGGTTGAATTTGAATGCAGAATACAGGGATAATGGCAGGATTTATGACAGTGTAGAGGAACAGAGGGATCCTGGGGTCCACGTCCATAGATCCCTCAAAGTTGCCACCCAAGTTGATAGAGTTGTAAAGAATGCGTATGGTGTGTTGGCTTTCATTGGCAGGGGTATTGAGTTTAAGAGCTGTGAGGTTATGCTGCAGCTCTATAAAACCCTGGTTAGACCACACTTGGAGTATTGCGTTCAGTTCTGGGCGCCTCATTATAGGAAGGATGTGGAAGCTTTCGAGAGGGTGCAGAGGAGATTTACCAGGATGCTGCCTGGACTGGAGGGCAGGTCTTATGAGGAAGGTCTGATGGAGCTCGGGCTTTTTTCATTGGAGTGAAGAAGGATGAGAGGTGACTTGATAGAGGTGTACAAGATGATGAGAGGCATAGATAAAGTGGATAGCCAGAGAGATTTTCCCAGGGCAGAAATGACTATCATGAGGGGTCATAATTTTAAGGTGATTGGAGAAAGGTATAGGGGAGATGTTCGAGTTAGGTTCTTTACACAGAGAGTGATGGGTGTGTGGAATGCACTGCCAATGGTAGTTGTGGACTCAGGGACATTTAAGCGACTCTTGGATAGGCACATGTATGATCGTAAAATGAAGGCTATTGCAGGTTAATTTGATCTTAGAGTAGAATAATAGGTTGGCACAACATCGTGGGATGAACCTCCTGTACTGTGCTGTACTGTTCTCTGTTGTATTTGTACTGATTGAGAGGAGAATGCTGATTGGTTAACAAGTGCAATCTGATTGGAAAATGAACTCTGAACTGTCAATCGGCAACTCTCAGTCAAAATTTTTCAAGCTGCATAAAGGTTATGAAAATAGAGGTTAATGGTCAAACAGGTAGAATCAAATTCAGTCCTAACCTTTGATTAAGCTATGATGACAAACTGACTGTACAGTTAGAGAATGGTACTGCACAGAATGCCATAATGGGGTCTTTAGATTAGTGCCAGCTGGTGCTGAAAACATTTGGATTACTGCTGCTGCTCATGACATTGTCATCCTGTCTGGTCTGCATATGACTCACTCTGTGAATAGGACTGAATGCCCCTGCAATGGCCATTCTGAGCCCATTACCAGGAGGACACCACCTTGTCAGGGGGAAATTAGGGATGGGAAATCAGTGGTACTTTCAGCTGTGGCAGCCACATAAGATAGAGGAAGAAAATCAATTTACTTCCCACAGTTGCTCAATTTTCAAATGTTTTTTCAACTCCTCAACAGTCTTTGTGTAAATTACTAAAGAGCATTTAGGAAAGAAGGGAGAAAGGTATTCATTTACCGTTTAAAGGAATTACACTCCTGTAAGTAACACGGCAGGTTCAGTAAGTAAATCAGTTTCAATAATAATCCATTCATTGTGTCCTGTGCAGAGGAACTATTCAAATAAGCTCAGCATCTCGGTGGAGCTGGAGGGAAAGAACTGCACGTTGGATCTCCGTAGCAATACGTAAGTTACATTATTAACAAAGCTGTCCCACCAATCCACTGTGTCTGTGTTACGTTCACACAGCTTGTCACGTGTACCAAAATACAGAGAAAAGCTTTGTTTACGAGCGGTACAGGCAGATGTCAGCAAGCAAAAGAATGTGTAGGTCAAAAAAACTTCAAGGCATACAGGTTACATTGCAGGTTACATTATTTGAGGCTTGAGTCCATTCAACAGTCAGATAACGGCCAAAAGGAGCTGTTCCTGAATCTGCTTGTGTGTGTGTTCAGGATTCTGTATCTTCTGCCTGATGGAAGACATTGTAGGAGATCAGTACCAGGGTGCGATCGGTCTTTGATGATATTGGCCACCTTTCCACAGCAGCGAGCCGTGTAAATAGAGCCATGGATGGAAGGTTGCCTTCCGTGATGGTCTGGGCTGTGCACACCACCTTCTGTAGTTTCTTACAGTTCTGGGCAGAGCAGTTGCCATACCAGACCATTATGCCACAGGACAGTATACTTTCAATGGTATATCTGTAGAAGTTGGTGAGGAATCTTATGGACATGTCAAATTTCCTCAGCCGCCTGAGGAAGAAGAGGCATTGTTGTGTCTTCTTGACTGTCACAGTTTGGGAAGTCCAGGACAGTTTGTCAGTTATTGTCACTCCAAGGAACTTGATGCTCTCCACCCTCTCAACCTCAGTTCCATTGATGTTGATGGGGGCATATTCTCCTCCATTCTTTCTGAAGTTGATGATCAGGCCTTTAGTTTTGCTGACGTTGAGAGACAGATTGCAGCATGTTACCAAGCCCTCAATCTCGCTTCTGTTTTTTGATTTGTCATTGTTGGATATGCATTCCACTACGGTGGTGTTGGCAGTGAACTTGTAGATGGCATTCATTCGGAATTTGGCAACACATTCGTAAGGGTACAGGGAGAACAGTAGGGGCTGAGGACACACACTTGGGAAGCTCCAGTGTTGTGTGTTATTGTGGGGGAGGACAGTTACCTATCCTCACTGATTGAGGTCTGTGGGTCAGGAAGCTGAGCATCCAGTTGCAGAGGGTGGAGCTGAGACCAAGGTCACGCAGTTTTGAGATCAGTCTGGAGGAGATAATGGTGTTGAAGGCGGAGCTGTATTCAGGGAGCAGGAGTCTTGATGTAGGTGTCTTTGCTGTCCAGATGTTCCCAGGATGAGGGCAGGTCTGGGGAAATGGCATCCTCTGGATCTGTTAAGTCAGTAGACAAACTGTAGGGGATTGAGGCAGATTGGGAGACTCGAGTTGATGTGGGCCATGACCAGCCTCTTGAAGCACTTCATAATTATTTAAGTCAGTGCTATTGGGCGGTAGTCATTAAGGCACATTGCATGTGCTTTCTTAAGTGCGGGGATGACGGTGGTCTTCTTGAAGCTCGTAGGGACTTCAGTTTGTAGGAGGGAAAAGTTGAAGATGTCAGTGAATACTTCTGCCAGCTGGTCCGCACAGGATCTGAGTACTCAGCCGGGAATACCGTCCGGGCCCGTCGCTTTCCTTGGGTTGACCGCTAGGAAGATGGATCTGACTTCTGAAGCGTTGACAAAGGGAACAGGCGTGGCCGGGGCTGGCGGGGCAGGCACTGAGCATAGAAAGCATTGAGTGTGTCAGGGAGGGATGTGTCATTGTCCGCCATTTTACACTGTTTCATTTTGTATCCCGTATTGACGTTTAGGCCTTGCTGTTGTGTCTGTGTTACACTAACACAGTTCTATCACCAATCCACTGTATCAGTGTTGCATTAATACAGCTCTATCCACCAATCCACTGTGTCTGTATTACATAATTAAAACAGCTCTGTTGTTGGGAAGAGATGTCAAAGAGCATCACCGAGTTCTGTGTTCAGAAGTACAGTCGATCTTAATTTGAGCTCTTTACCACATGTGCAGGAGAAGCCAGAGACCACTACAAATCTGACCTGTTCGTGGGGCCCAGTCTCCTTCTTAATATTCATCTCAGATCAGAAGAGAAATCAATGATGCTCTGACTTCCCCAGTGTGATACAGCATTTTTATACATTTCACTTTACAATAATTACATGCAACATTGTCATTGTTCCTTCCCACTTCATCTATAATCTGAAAGTGGAGTGACAGGTAGACAGGGCAGTGAAGAAGGCTTTTGATACACTGGCCTTCATCAGTGAGGGCACTGAGTATGGAACTTGGGAAGTTTTGTTGCAGTTTTACATGATATTCGTGAGGCCGCACTTGGAGCATTATTTCAGTTCTGGTCACCTCGCTATAGGAAGGGTATTATTAAACTGGAAAGAGTGCAGAAGAAATTTACAAGGATGTTGCCAGGATTGAAGGGACTGAGTTATAGGGAGTAAAATTGAATCAGAAATAGCAGGAACTGCAGATGCTGGAGAATCCAAGACAACAAGGTGTAGAGCTGGATGAACACAGCAGGCCAAGCAGCATCATAGGAGCAGAGAGGTTGACGTTTCGGGCCAAGACCCTTCATCAGAAAAGGGGGAGGGGAAGGGGGTTCTGAAATAAATAGGGAGAGAGTGGGAGGCGGATAGAAGATGGATAGAGGAGAAGATAGGTGGAGAGGAAACAGACAGGTCGAAGAGGCGGGGATGGAGCTAGTAAAGGTGAGTGTGGGTGGGGAGTTAGGAAGGGGATAGGTCAGTCCAGGGAGGACGGACAGGTCAAGGGGGCGGGATGAGGTTGGTCGGTAGGAGATGAGGGTGGGGCTTGAGGTGGGAGGAGGGGATAGGTGGGAGGAAGAACAGGTTAGGGAGGCAGGGACGAGTTGGACTGGTTTTGGGATGCGGTAGGGGGAGGGGAGATTTTGAAGCTTGTGAAATCCACATTGATACCATTGGGCTGCAGTGTTCCCAAGCGGAATATGAGTTGCTGTTCCTGCAAGGGTGGCATCGTTGTGGCACTGCAGGAGGCCCAGGATGGACATGTCGTCTGTGGAATGGGAGGGGGAGTTGAAATGGTTCGCGACTGGGAGGTGCAGTTGTTTATTGCGAACCGAGCGTAGGTGTTCTGCAAAGCGGTCCCCGAGCCTCCGCTTGGTTTCCCCGATGTAGAGGAAGCCACACCGGGTACAGCAGATGCAGTATACCACATTGGCAGATGTGCAGGTGAACATCTGCTTGATGTGGAAAGTCTTCTTGGGGCCTGGGATGGGGGTGAGGGAGGAGGTATGGGGGCAGGTGTAGCACTTCCTGCGGTTGCAGGGAAAAGTGCCGGGTGTGGTGGCGCTGGAGGGGAGTGTGGAGCAGACAAGGGAGTCACGGAGAGAGTGGTCCGTCCGGAAAGCAGATAAGGTTGGGGAGGGAAAGATGTCTTTGGTGGTGGGGTCAGATTGCAGATAGCGGAAGTGTCGGAGGATGATGCGTTGGATCCGGAGGTTGGTGGGGTGGTACGTGAGGACGAGGGGGATTCTTTTTTGGTTCTTATTGCGTGGACGGGGTGTGAGGGATGGTTGCGGGAGATGTGTGAGACACGGTTGAGGGCGTTATTGACCACTGAGGGGGGGAAGTTGCAGTCCTTGAAAAACGAGGACATCTGAGATGTACGGGATTGGAATGCCTCATCCTGGGAGCAGATGCGGCGGAGGCGAAGGAATTGGGAATAGGGGATGGCATTTTTGCAGGAAGGTGAGTGGGAGGAGGAGTATTCTAGGTAGCTGTGGGAGTCGGTGGGCTTGAAATAAATATTGGTTTCTAGGTGGTTGGCCGAGATGGAGACAGAGAGGTCCAGGAAGGAGCGAGAGGTCTTCGAGAT